TTTTTCTCATATAAACAAGTGACTCGAGAAGCTATATTTCTCATATGAACGATCAACTCATAATCCTATATTTCTCCTATAAACGAGCGATTCGAGAAGCTATATTTCTCATATGAACAATCGACTCGTAATCCTATTTTTCTCATATAAACAAGTTACTTGAGAAGCTATATCTCTTGCACGAATGATCAACTCGTAATCCTATATTTCTCCTATAAACGAGCGATTCGAGAAGCTATATTTCTCATATGAACGACTGACTCGTAATCCTATATTTTTCATATAAACAAATGACTCGAGAAGCTATATTTCTCGCATGATCAACTCGTAATCCTATATTTCTCCTATAAACGAGCGATTCGAGAAGCTATATTTCTCATATGAATGATCAACTCATAATCCTATATTATTCATATAAACAAGTGACTCGAGAAGCTATATTTCTCATATGAACGATCGACTCGTAATCCTGTTTTTCTCATATAAACAAGTGACTCAAGAAGCTATATTTCTCATATGAACGATCGACTCGTAATCCTATTTTTCTCATATAAACAAGTGACTCGAGAAGCTATATTTCTCATATGAACGATCGACTCGTAATCCTATTTTTCTCATATAAACAAGTGACTCGAGTAGCTGTATTTCTAGTATGAACGATCAACTCGTAATCCTATATTTCTCCTATAAACGAGTGACTTGTGAACCTAGATTTCTCATATAAATGAGCTATTCATAACTGAGCGACTAGTAATCCTATATTTCATGCATGAATGAATGATTTGTGAACCTATATTTCTCATATGATATTTTTTATTATATAAATGAGCAACTTGTGAAGCTGTTTCCTGTATGAACAAGTGACTCGTATGAATTTTTCAATCCTCTGTGAAGAAACTCAAATTAATACCTCATTTGGTTTTAAATTTAAAATGTTATTTATAAAAAAAGTTTTAAAAATTCTCAAAAATCAGTGGCTGAGCAAAATATTTCAAATCTCAGAGAGATTACAGCAGTCAATGTGTCCTATAAGTGTAGCAAGTTTCATTCTGATCACCTTAAAAACGACGGAGAAACGAGCCCCTGAAGTGTTTGCCATTGACACGAAATAAGAATGTAAAATTTCAAAAAATTCGTAACTAGAAACGAAACAGATTTTTGGGCGCACAACTTTCATTGTATTTTCTTCAATGCAATGAAAGCCTTTCAAATTTCCATAATAAAGTCCGCTGACCTCGTTTGACCTCGCTTAGCATTAAAAAGCAAAACAAGAACACAAACAAACAAACATTATTCAAATGAAATGAGAGGATTAAACCAATTTCTCTCCAAACACCGGATTAACGAAGAGTAGGGATTTATAAACAACGGAATGCCAAGAATTGGACAAAAATGAGCTTTCAAAACACAGGACCCCAAAGGTCATCTAGACTGAAGTCATCTATGTATATAATAAAAGTCAAAGTTTGTATGCGGCGGAAGTGTGGCGGTGCGACCGGAGGGGTATGTGCCAGCTTCCTGATTGGCTGCCGCTGTGGTGCTATTTGCATATGGTCTCTGATTGGCCAGCTTCAAGAGGAGCCCCTGGTGGAGAAAAGGGTTCATAACAGAAACAGGGACATGAGAGAAGGAAATTTGCATATGGTCTCTGATTGGCCAGCCTCAATTCCAAGATTCCGAGATGACAAAGAGAGGAAAGGAAAAGGCCAGAGGGGGCTGCGTCAGAAAATTACCAATACAGACCAAACTTGGCACACAGAGCCCGCAGGACCCACTCTACATCCTACTGCAGTTTGGAGGTAGATGAACCATGGATGATGGGACTTGCAGTACCATCACTCACATTCTGAAACCACTGTTAACCTCATCCAATGACTGATCAGGACCAAACTTGGCACATAGACCTCTCATGACCCACTTCACGTCCAGGTGTGGTTTGGTCGGGGATGGACCATGGATTATGGGACATGCAGTACCTTTGCTCAATTCTTGAGACCACTGCAACCCTCATCCAATTACCAAACTTGGCACACTGAGTCTCCATGACGCACTCTACATCCTGGTGCAGTTTGGAGGAGGATGCACCATAGATGATGGGATTTGCAATACCTGCACTCCCTTCCTAAGACCATTACAACTGACAACAATGATGGATCAGGACCACAATTTACACAGAGAGCCTGCATGACCCACTCTACATCCTGGTGCAGTTTGGAAGAATTTGACAATGGATGATGGGACTTGCAGTCACTTCACTCACTTCCTGAGACCACTGACACCCTGGCCAATGACTGATCAAAACCAAACTTGGCACAGAGAGTCCCCATGACCCACTCTACATCCTGGTGCACTTTCGAGGAGGACAGACCATGGATGATGGGACTTCAAGTACCTCCACTCTCTTCCCAAGACTGCTGCAATCCTCATCTAATGTCCGATCAAGACCAAACTTGGTACACAGAGCCCCCATGACCCACTCTACATCCCGATGCTGTTTGGAGGAGGACGGATGATGGATGATGAGACTTCCAGTACCTTCACTCACTTCCTGAAACCACAGCGACATTTATCCAAATACCAAGAAAGACCAAACTTGGCACAGAGAGCCCCCTTGGCCAACTCAACATTCTGGTGAGGTTTGGGGAAGAACAGACTATGGATGATGGGACTTGCAGTACCTAAACTCACTTTCTGAGACCACTGTGACCCTCATCCAATGATTGAACAAGAACAAAACTTGGCACACAGAGCCCCCACGACCCACTCTCCATCCTGGTGCAATTTGGAGGAGGATGGACCACCGATGATGGGACTCACAGTACCTTCACTAACTTCCTGAGAACACTCCGAGCCATAAAAATAACTGATAATGACCAACCTTGATACACAATTCCTTTCTCAAATAACCCGGGCAGCGCCGGGTCCCCAAGCTAGCTGTGAAATAAATGCTAAAGCGCTCCTGAAAGATGTCCATCTAGCCTGTTCAAAGGCCTCCAAAAGAAGGAGAGTCCAATATCTTCAATGGGAGCTCATCATGCAATAGCTGGAAGGGTAATCCCAAAGAACTAGACCAACCTCATTGGACCATATAGAAATACAGCAACAACAACAACCATTTTCATTGATTAGCCAGTTGGCCTTATCAAAAACAGACAGTGCAGTCACAACATACAATACACATCTGGTCCTCTTAAAATAAAATACAAATATCCAGGTAGCCGTAGCTATATGCATCAACTGTCTCCCCTACACTGCACCCCAATCTGATCTATGTACTCCGATCTCCTATTAGCAGCTTTAAACAAATAAAGGGCAACTTTTGTTGTAGAAATACACAATTGGAGTTCTCCCAAGAGATGGTCATCTAATTTCTGTCCACAGAGTCCACTACCTTCACTACCAATAGAGTCAGAAGGGGCATCCAAAGGCCATCTAGACTGCAAATAATTTTGCAATTTTGTGAATATTTCTGGGATTGTTTTTGTGAATAATTTTAAGATTATTATTGTGAATATTTCTATGATTATATTCATGAATATTTTTGTGGGTATTTCCGGGATTATTTTTATGACAACTTTTATGAATATGTTTGTGGGTATTTTTATGATTATTTTGTGGATATTTTTGTGAATATTCCTGGGAATATTTTTGTGAATATTTTTGTAGATATTTCTGTGAATATATTTTATGATTATTTTGTGTATCTTTTAATGACTATTTCTGGGAATATTTTTGTGAATATGTTTTGTGAATAATTTCATGATTTTTTTTGTGAATATTTAATGATAATTTTTGTGGATATTTCTGTGGAAATACTTTATAATTATTTTGCGTGAATATTTTTGTGAATATTTCTGGGATTATTTTTGTGAATAATTTTAAGATTATTATTGTGAATATTTCTATGATTATATTCATGAATATTTTTGTGGGTATTTCTGGGATTATTTTTATGACAACTTTTATGAATATGTTTGTGGGTATTTTTATGATTATTTTGTGAATATTTCTTGTGGATATTATTTTTTGAATATTCCTGGGAATATTTTTATGGCTATTTTTGTAGATATTTCTGTGATTATGTTTTATGATTATTTTGTGTATCTTTTAATTACTATTTCTGGGAATATTTTTGTGAATATGTTTTGTGAATAATTTCATGATTATTTTTTGTGAATATTTAATGATAATGTTTGTGAATATTTCTGGGATTGTTTTTGTGAATAATTTTAAGATTATTATTGTGAATATTTATATGATTATATTCATGAATAATTTTGTGGGTATTTCTGGGTTTGTGAATATTTCTGTGGATATATTTTATAATTATTTTGTGTGAATATTTTTGTGGGTATTTCTGGGATTATTTTTATGACAACTTTTATGAACATGTTTGTGGGTATTTTTATGATTATTTTGTGAATATTTCTTGTGGATATTTTTGGGAATATTCCTGGGAATATTTTTATGGCTATTTTTGTAGATATTTCTGTGAATATGTTTTAAGATTATTTTGTGTATCTTTTAATGACTATTTCTGGGAATATTTTTGTAAAAATGTTTTGTGAATAATTTCATGATTATTTTTGTGATTATTTTTTGTGAATATTTAATGATAACGTTTGTGGTTATTTCTGTGGATATATTTTATAATTATTTTGTATGAATATTTTTTTGATATTTCTAGGATTATTTTTACGCTTGTTTTTTTTTTAAATGGTGGATATTTTTGTGAATATTTCTGGGAATATTTTAATGGTTATTTTGTGAATATTTTTGTGGATATTTTCCTCAATATTTTGTGTATATTTTAATGAGTATTCCTGCAAATATTTTTGTGAATAATTCTGGGAATATTTTTATGATTACTTTTTTTGAGAATAATCTTGTGATTTTATTTTGTGGGCATTTTTAATGATTATTTTTCAAATTATTTTTGCGAATGTTTCATGTATATGTCTCCCTAAAGGCCATCTAGACTGACTTCTCATAAGGCTTACCATCGGCCAATGATCCGTCCTCCTCTCTCTGTAGAAACTGCGACTCCGGCGTTGGATCGGAATATAAGGATCATTACTTCCAACATCCATCTTTGAAGAATTAAAAAAGAGGAATGAGTATATTGTCCAGAGAAAAGGTTCCCAATCACTGTATAATAATACATAATATATCATACACTGGTATAAGTAGTATACATTTATTCTGTATACATAAATATTCATATATTATATTATATACATTATATTTATAATATAATGTTCATGGAGCTTGCTATAGCCTGCAATGCCATTGGAGGGAGGGTCATTGGTATCTCCTGAGTGATGGGAGTTATAGATGTCTGTGGAGGTAGGAGCTTGCCTGTGTAAGTGGATACCCCAGACACACGCACACATACATATTTTCACTTTTATTAAGTGTATAGATAGATAGATAGATATAAGAATATATATTATACACCTGTATAAATGGTACAAATTTATTATGTCCCTATAAAATATTGTAATATTTGTGAATAATTTTTTGTGTGTATTTAAATGGATATTTGTGCGAATATTTTTACAAATATATTATGGATATTTTTGTGAATACTTTTATAAATATTTTATTTTGTGAATATTTTTATTATATTTTGTAAATATTTGTATGATTATATTTATTGTATTGTCGAAGGCTTTCATGGCCAGAATCACTGGGTTGTTGTAGGTTTTTTCAGGCTATATGACCATGTTGTAGAGGCATTCTCTCCTGACGTTTCGCTTGCATCTACGGCAGGCATCCTCAGAAGTAGTTCCAACAAACCTCACTACCTCTGAGGATGCTTGCCATAGATGCAGGCGAAACGTCAGGAGAGAATGCCTCTACAACATGGCCATATGGCCCAGAAAAACCCACAACAGAAAATCATAGAATCAAAGAGTTGGAAGAGACCTCATGGGCCATCCAGTCCAACCCCCTGCCAAGAAGCAGGAATATTGCATTCAACAACCCATTATATTTATTTTCTGCTAATAATTTTGATTTTTAAAGATTCGTTGTGAATGTTTTTATGATAATTTCTGTGAATAATTTTGTGTATCCTATTTATACATTTTTGCAAATATTTTGATGATTATATTCTATAATGTTTCAATGAATAATTTTCATTATTTTTGTGAATAATCTTGGGTATATTTTAATGAATATTTAATGATTATTTTTAATGATTATTTCTGCAGAAATTTCTATTTTTGTAATTATTTTTGTGATTATTTTTATAAATATTTTTATGATTTTTTTCTGCAAATATTTTGGGTTTTGTGAATAATTTTCTGTATCTTTTTATGATTTTTTAAATATTCCTGCAGATATTTTTTTGTTAATATTTTGAGTATATTTCTTACATATTTTATGCAAATATTTTTCTGTTATCGATCATTATAATAATAATTTTATTTATGATAATGCAACCCAAGAATCCCATCATCCAGATTATCCTCAGGTAATTTTATATTACCCTTCTCTCTTCAAGTGGAGAAGAAACGCTCGTTCTGCTCGGATTCTCGGGCTCAATCCCTCGTTCCATCAGATACTTTGGCGAGCCTCTTCCTTGTGATCCCGATGTCCGGGCCTTTTCGGAGAAGGATCGTCTTAGATCTGGAAGTGTGCATGCCGATCCCGATGTGCTCTTGTTCTCATCATTGACGTTTCCCCTGTTTGTCCATTGCGGATGAACATCTGGATGCTTGTTGTTGTTTACCTTAACCTTGCTTGACCGCGAAGGACAGGATTGCGGAGGAACAAGATCCTCCTCATCGACGAGGAAGGTCTTCTTACAAGCCAATGGCGGATTGGCAACACATCGCAATTTCTCATCTGAGGAACATCGTAATTTCCCATCAGCAGAATGTTGTAATTTCTCATCGGTGGAAAGTTGAAATTTTTCATCTGTGGAAAGTCGTAATTTCTCATCTGCAGAATATTTCATTTTCTCATCTGTGGAATATCGTAATTTCTCACCTGCTGAATGTCGCAATTTCTCATCTGCGGAATATCGCGATTTTTCATCTGTGGAATGCCGTAATTTCTCATCTGTGGAATATCGTAATTTCCCATCAGCAGAATGTTGTAATTTCCCATCCACGGAATACAGCAATTTCTCGTTTTTTTCTGAATATCGCAATTTCTCCTTTTCTTCTGGAAGGACCATTTCTTGTTTGCCCTGAATTGGGTTTTCCTTATATTCCACCATCAGCGCATCGAGGTCAAGAACCCTAGATCGATAACCATCTTTACCAAGATGATGGTCGCTACTCCTTTTTTGGGATGACGACTTTGGCCTTGAGCCATAGAGCAGGAAATCGACATCGGTGACTCTCTCGTTTCCCCAATTATGGCTGGTCTCTGTTTGCGGGGATTTCATTACGACCTCTGCAGCTATTGCTTCTCCCTTGTCCATATTGGAAAACCTTTTATGATGCGGACGAGGTATTTTAGGAATGGAAGCGTCCCTCGTTAACCGAGGAACGTTACTATTTGATACTTTGCCTGATAAATTCTTGTTTTCATCAGGGATCTGGGAAGTGAAAGTGAAATGCGTCGATTTCAATTCAGATGGTGAGTGTGTGTTGTTCTGACCTTCCTTCGCTTCTCGTTTGGGACTTCTCTTTGTCACCGAATTCTCCCAAAGTTGAAACGAGTCCCTCTGGATGGGAGACTTCCCTCTCTCTTGTGGGATTGTTACAACATCCTCGATCCTTACAGTGTCATGCGGTAGAGTTTTCCTCCGCCATCTTTCCAAGAGTTTTGGACCTTTTTTCTTCACTCTTTCATCCACATTGATTTCTTGATCCTCATCTTTGCATTCGGAACTCCACCTTTGCATTCCTTCCGCAATAACGACTCGCTCATTCGTTTTTTCTGAGCTGCAGGTGCTCATCTTCACCCTCTCATCCACCTCTTTCATTCTGCGGTTGGAAATACCAGATTCATCTGGAATAACGACTTGGGACTCATCTTGCTTGTTCGTTTTTTGTGCCTCTCCATTCCGTTGCCATCGGCTTGTTCGAATGCCCATCACACTCGGTCGATCAATCATTCTTAATTGAGAATCGTTTCCATCTTTCCATCCCTGTTCATTTCCAGAATGGCCGAGGAAGTTTTTCGGCATTGTGGAAATGTCTCTTGTATTATCAACGGCTTTCTTGTTTGCTATTTCGACCGGAATCTTGGAAGTTTTCTCCTCCGTTTGCTCCCAATCCTTACTATGGCTTGTACGGTATGATGTTCTTGTATTATTGGCGACTTTCTGGTTTTCCGTTTCTGCAGAAATCTTGGATGCTTTCTCCTCCATCCGCTCCCAATCCTTATTATGGCTTGTACGGTACGACGGTCTCATATTATTGGCTACTTTCTTGTTTTCAGTTTCTACCACAATCTTTGACTCTTTCTCCTCCGTTTGCTCCCAATTCCGGCTTGTAAGGTATGACATTCTTGCCGCCGTCACATGTTGTCCGCTCCAACTTTTCTTCCCTTCACTTGCTTCTCCTTTCATCTCTCTTGCGATGCCATCTTCCAAATCTTTTGCTTTTCGTTCATCCTGAAATTCAAGACAGCGGGCCCAAACTGAATCTATTACACCAAAGTTGCCATCTGTTTTCCGCCTCTCTCTCGAGGACTTTCGGCTCCGTAACGTGACAGCTTTATCTTCTGGCACCGTTGCCACGGCCTCACTCCGGACCTGTTCACCGACTGTTTGGAGGATTTCATACCGTGGTTCGATCCGTTGATACATCAACGGGTCATCCTCATTGTCATCAAGCCTCGCTTTCTGCTGTTTTTCGGCCTCCGATGAGACTTTCCTCAAAGTTACCGGGACTTTCTTGATGCTCTCATTTGCTTCTGTTTTGAGTCCACTCACAGACACCGTATGACGCTCCACGGTGTGATCGAACATAGTCGCCCGGACGGTTTTGATGCCGGGATTTTGGGGGATCGGCTGGGATTTGATGATGTTGGCACCCGGCAGCGAGGAAGTGCTCTGCTTCTCTTTAATAAATCCACCATCTTTCTCTGCTGTTTTTGTCATCTGTGGAGACTTCCACGGAATCGCGGGCTCGGACTTCCGGGATTCTGTTTTCTCTTTCTGAAACAACAAACAACAAAAATATGTATAATGGCTAATATCTCTAAATGACATCTATGATCATTAGTCATCAACACAAATGCAAGATATGGCTTCTCTAAAACTTTTAAAAAGTCTCCCAAGCAATGCTATGGTAACGTTGCACCAGAAATTACCATACAGTGACACTATAAAACCAACGAAATGCCATTGCTAGGCCATTCAGGACATCTCCCAAGATACAGCATCTATAGGCAATTTCTAGTCCTCCAAGCAAGATAAATACTCACATGATACCATAGAGATATTCAAATACTTTGAAAGAAATATTTATAAAATATTTGCAGAAATATTCAAAATATATTTGCAGAAATGTTCACAAAAATATTTTTAAAATATTTGAAAGAAATATTGAGAGAAAAAATTCCGGAAATATTCATTAAAATATTCACAGATGTATTCAAAAAATAGCTGCATAAATATCCATTAAAATATTTTCAGAAATATATTTGCAAGAAATATTAGTTAAAATTGCAGAAATATTCATAGAATATTAATTAAAATAGTAATAAAATATATATTTGCAGAAATATTTGCAAAAAAATTCATTAAAATATCCACAGAAATATTCACAAAAATATATTCAGAAAAATGGCCATCTGTTAGGAGGAATCATACCTTTCCATTCTAAGTCTCCATGGCAATCCTTTCCTCATTCAATAAAGGCAATTAATCCCATTAATCCTATTACAATTAAGTCATTAAAACACACACAGAGAGAGAAACCATGCCCTATTTTTTCTTAGTAGCTGAATGGTTGCCTCACCTCTTGGAGGACTTCCTGTGCTTCAATATTGTACTTCCGGGTCAAATCCATTGACCTTTCGGCTCTTGTTTCAGTTGTCGTCAGTGGAGCGGAGAAATTGCTGGAGGGAAACGCAGGTCATTATCAGAACAGGAAGAGTCCCATAATTATAATTAATTAATTAATCATAATTACTATGACAGAAGGGAAGAAAGGAAGGAATAAGGAAAATGAGGAAAGGAAGAGAGAAAAAGGAAAAGAAAGGAAGTGAAGAATGAATGAATGAATGAAAGGAAGGAAGAAGAGACAAGAGAAGGGAAGGAAAAGAGACAATGATGGGAAGAGAAAGGAAGGGAAGAAAGAAGAGGGGAAGCAGTATGTGAGAAACTGAGGAAGAAAGGAAAGAGCCAAAAAGAGATATGCTAGAGAAGGGAGAAAGTAGGCCGTTGTTTGGATTATTTTAGCACTCGACACCCCATCAACATTACACAAAATGACCCATTATGAAACGGTCAAACTCACAGCTTCGTCAAGTCCGACAAGATTCCCTGGGAGCGGAAGGACCGCCGAAGGTTCCCCGGTTTGATCTCCATGTTGTCGGCAGTCAGTTCCTTGATCCTCTGCTGGACGTTTGTCATCTTCGTCTCATTCGAGGCATTTCCGGCATCCGGTGAAACGGGGAAATAGCCAAAATGAGACTCCGACATTTCTCCCCCTGAGGCCTCAGTTGGCTTGCTCTGAACAAGATCCCGTTTTGAAGAGTCGATTAAATTAGTTGGCTGCCGTATCTTGCTCTTAATAGGATCCGGTTTCAATGAGTCAACTGAAATAGACAGCTTCTGTATCTCGCTCTTAATGGGATCCACTTTTGATGAGTCGATTATCAAAGATGGCTGCTGTATATCACTTTTAATAGAATCCAATTTTGACGAGTTGATTAAAACAGATGGCTTCGGTACTTCACTCTTAACAGTATCCATTTTCGACAAATCTGTTAATCTAGACAACTTCTGTATCTCGCTCTTAATGGGATCCACTTTTGACGAGTTGATCGATCCGGATTTTTTCGACAATTCAACAGTTTCTTTGTTTTCAGGGGAAACAGATTTCCGGGTTTCGAATTTTGATGAGTCGGTTTCAATTAATCCAGAAGGTTTATTCTGTGTCTCGTTCTGAACAGGATCCTGTTTCAACGAGTCAATGAATCCAGGCGGCTTCTTCTGTATCTCGCCCTTAATGGGATCTGGTTTTGACAAGACAACTCCAATTGATTTGTTTGTAACAGGATCTTGTTTTGACAAGTCGATCAATCCAGATTTTTTCTGCTGTGACGATTCAACCGCCATTTCTTTATTTTCAGGGAAAATGGACTTCCGAGTTTCGAATTTTGACGAGTCGACTCCTATTAATCCAAATGGCTTCTGAATCTCGCTCTTAACGAGATCCCGTTTTGACAATTCGATTCCAATTGAACCAGATGGCTTCTTCTGTGTCTCGCTGTGAACAGGATCCTGTTTTGACGAGTCGACTCCAATTAATATGTTTGTAACGGGATCTGCTTTCAATGAGTCAACTTCAGTTGATTTCTTCATAATGGGATCTGATTTTGACGAGTCGACTCCAATTAATTTCTTTGTAACGGGATGCGGTTTTGATGAGTCAACCAATCTGGATTTCCTCTGTACTTCGGCCATTGTTTCCTTATTTTCAGGGGGGACGGACTTCCGGTTTTCAAATTTGGCTGTCAGGTCCATCGACAACGGCCGTGGCTTCCTCACCCATGGCTTTTCGGGATCATCAGAAGCTCGTTTAGTGTCCTGTAATGAGTCAAGGAAGATGGCTGACAATGGGCGAATGGGAGCAGTTATTTCACTCTTGACGGGGGAACCTGTTAAAGATTCTGATCCATCTCCTTTGTCGGACCGGATATTGCACTCATTTTTTCTCCCCGTTTCAAAGAGGATGACGGTATTCACCTGCGGAGAGGGATGAAATGCCGGATCTTCGATCAATTTCTGGCCCGAAACGGATGGATTCGGAGGCGTTTTGAAGGCCGGTTTCACGGCAGCAAAGGTCTCAGCAGATGACCCCCTCGAGAAGGGCCTGGGGGTCAAGCGTGGCTTTACCGAGGCCAGAGGCATAGTGGATGGGCAAAGGAGTGGCGTAGTTGGCGGGACAAACTTTTCGCTCGTATTGGGAAGGGAAGCAGAGAAAGCTCGTCGGAGGTCAGCAATGCTGGTGGAGATCAAGGAGGTGTCGACCTGCGTTGCCATGACGACTGGTTATAGGATGAAGACAAAAGTCATTACCTGTAGGAAGAGGAAATAAAGGATTGAAATATAAGTGAAACCCAAATGAAACAGAGACCGAATAGGACTTTTAAAAAACTCAATAACCATGGTGATGGTTTGTTTATGGGATAGAAAAGGAAGTTGTCGCCTGTCAGAAGAGGAAATAAAGGAAATGGAGACCAAATATGACGTTCGGAATATCAATTGACAAAACTGCGAAATTATCCACACATTGAGATATTATTATATTAGTCTTAGTCTTGTATTTATTTCAGACAACAGCTTATTAGAAAAGGAAGGAAAGAAATCTGGACAAAACAGAGACCAAATATGATGTTCGGAAAAATGTTTGATAAAATCGTAAAATTACAAACTTTTTTGGGAAATCAATGAACAAAACTGAAAAATTATCTTCATTTTTTTATATTATGATAATACATAATTATAATTATAATTATAACATTTATTTCAGATGAGAGCTTCTTTGACTATAATTATATATATATATATATATATATATATATATATATATATATATATAATTAAATAAATATAATTAACTAGCTGTCCCCTACCATGCGTTGCTGTGGCCCAGTCTGTGTATATGTGTTTTGTGTGTGTGTAAAGACCAAATCCAGTGTGTGGCCGGCACTATGGGTGGGACCAGATACTAATTGGGACAGGCCCATGGTTGCCATGGCGGCCATGAAATCCTGAGCTGCACCTGAAAGAGAGGTCTCGGCATGGACATTGAAATCTCCCAGGACTAAAAGCCGTTGGGAGCTCAATGCCAGATCCGAGACCACTCCTGCTAGCTCAGGTAAGGAGACTGTCGTGCAGTGGGGTGGTTGGTACACTAACAGAATCCCTATCCTGTCCCGGTCACCTATCCTAAAGCCAGCACACTCAAAAGAGGATGGGATGGGGCACCTGATCAGGGGAATAAAATCCTTATAGACCACTGCGACTCCACCTCCCCGCCCTCCAGGTCTTGGTTGGTGCTGCACAGAGTATCCTGGCGGACAGAGTTGGGAGAGATTCACCCGTCCTCCCTCATCTAGCCAGGTCTCTGTTATGCAAGCCAGGTCTGCTTGTTCCTCCTGGATTAGATCTTGAATAATGGAGGTTTTCCCATTTACTGACCTGGCATTGAACAGCACCACTTTTAACCTGGAGGGACCACCATCCTGGCACTTCAGCTGTACCTTGTCGGGAGAATGTTTTGGGATTGCCAATATATCCTTGTTAATTTCGGGCCGAATGGATTGTTGGGTTGTACTGTGAGTGATTTTTGGAATTGCCAATGTTCTACTATAAATTTTGGGCCGAATCTGCTTTTGTCTTGAGTCATTAGTATATGTATATAGGTATGTGTGCATATGTATAAGTGTGTGTTGTTGTTCTTGTTCATTCGTTCAGTCCGACTCTTCGTGACCTCATGGACCAGGCCACCCCAGAGCTCCCTGTCGGCCGTCACCTCCCCCAGCTCCTTCAGAACCATATATGTGTGTATATATGTATATTTGCGTGTTCATGTATATGTGTGTGTGTGTATATATTTGTGTGTGTTTGTGCATATATATGTATATGAATATGTGTATGTATGAGTGTATGTGTATATGTATATATGGTGTATTTTTTGGGGTTTTAAGCCTGCTCTGCTGTGGTTTTGTGTGTGTGTGTTTTTAGGGGTGATGGACACTCGTTGGACTGTTAGGTGTATTGCATCCAAATTACGTGTCAATTCGTCCAGTGGTTTTTGAGTTATGTTAATCCCACAAACAAACATTACATTTTTATTTATATAGATATAATATAACATCTTATGAATACATTTACTATAAGCAATTAATTTAATATTATAATAATAAATATAGCATTTTATAATATTATATAAAAACTCAAATATGATAAAAATATATTTATAATACATTTGGAAAATCACTGGAGGAAATAATTGACTTTTTTGGGAAATCAATGGATGAAATCACAAGAACACTTCCCAAGCGTCTAGGACTGTTTTATGTATTTCCGAATGATGCGCGCAGATCCAAGGTGGCCTTTTGCAGTTGAAAGATTGTGATTTTGTCGATGTTTATTGTTTCCAAATGCTGGCTGAGATCTTTTGGCACAGCACCCAGTGCGCCAATTATTATTATTGTTATTGTTATTATTAAGTAAGAAATGGAATGGATTATAATTTTTAATTAATTCTCATTTACCTTAATCATCTTTCTGGCGGCATTTCAGCAGAGAAAAAGGAAAGATCTGTGGGTTGAAACAAAGAAGAAACATTATTATATTATATTACATTGACAATATAATATTATTATATGATATTATCAGTGAAGACATCTGCCCTTGCGCTTGGCTACTCTTCTGCTGAATATGCATGCCCAGTGTTGAATACATCTCATCATGCTAAAACAGTGAATGTGGCTCTTAATGAGACATGCCGCATTATCACAGGATGTCTACGTCCGACACTACTGGAGAAATTATACTGTTTAGCCAGTATTGCACCATCTGACATCCACCAGGAGGTTGTAGCCAATAATGAAAGGACCAAAGCAGTGACATCTTTGGCCCATCCCCTGTTTGGATATCAGCCAGCACGACAATGCGAGTATCTACAGAGATAAGCAAGCAAGAGTCCAAAAGTGGCAGGCTAAAACCCAACACCCCAATCTATGGCTGATACCAGATGAGAAACTCCCCCCTGGGCAACTAGGAAGGCGTTGAACAGGCTGTGGCCTGGCACCACGAGATGCAGAGCCAACCTTCAGAAATGGGGCCACAAAGTGGAGTCCACGACATGCAAGTGTGGAGAAGAGCAAACCAGAGACCACCTACTACAATGCAACCTGAGCCCTGCCACATGCACAAGGGAGGACCTCCTTATAGCAACTCCAAGTGGCCAGCTTCTGGTCAAAGGACATTTAATAGTGGTTTTTGAGTTATGTTAATCCCACAAACAAACATTACATTTTTATTTATAAAGATTATAATATATTGTTATATTATATTATATTGCATTATTATTTTATCATATTATTATATTAACTATTATATTATATTCACATTATTATATTATATTACTAGCTTGGGGACCCGGCGCTGCCCGGGTTACTTGAGAAAGGAATTGTGTCTCAAGATTGGTCTTTATCAGTTATTTATATGGCTCACAATGGTCTCAGGAAGTTAGTGAAGGTACTGCGAATCCCATCATCTGTGGTCCGTCCTCCTCCAAATTGCACCAGAATGGAGAGTGGGTCATGGGGGCTCTGTGTGCCAAGCTTTGTTCTTGATCAATCATTGGATGAGGGTCACAGTGGTCTCAGAATGTGAGTTTAGGTACTGCAAGTCCCAACATCCATAGTCTGTTCTCCCCCAAACCTCACCAGAATGTTGAGTTGGCCAAGGGGGCTCTCTGTGCCAAGTTTGGTCTTTCTTGGTATTTGGATAAGTGTCGCTGTGGCTTCAGGAAGTGAGTGAAGGTGCTGGAAGGCCCATCATCCATCGTCCGTCCTCCTCCAAACAGCATTGGGATGTAGAGTGGGTCATGGGGGCTCTATGTGCCAAGTTTGGTCTTGATAGGACATTAGATGAGGGTTGCAGCCGTCTTGGGAAGGGAGTGGAGGTACTTGAAGTCCCATCATCCACCACAGCGGCAGCCAATCGGGATCTTGGAACTTTCAGGCTGTCTAATCAGAGACCATATGCAAATAGCACTACAGTGGCAGCCAATCAGAAAGCTGGCACATACCCGGTCGCACCGCCACACTTCCGTCCGCCACATGCAAACTTTTACTTTTATTATATACATAGATATTATATTATTAGCTTGGGGACCCAGCGCTGCCCGGGTTATTTGAGAAAGGCACTGTGTGGCAAAGGTGTTCTTTATCAGTTATCAGTTAGTGAAGGTACTGCGAATCCCAGGGTGCATGGTCCATCCTCCTCCAAACAGCCCCTGGATGTAGAGTGGGTGATGGTGGCTCTGTGTGCCAAGTTCGATCTTGCTCTGTCATTGGTGAGGGTCACAGTGATCTCATGAAGTGTGTGAAGGTACTGCAGGTACCCATCATCCATGGTGAATCCTTCTTCAAACCAGGATGTAGAGTGGATCATGGTGGTTCTTCTGTGCCAAGTTTGGTCTAGATCAGTCATTGGTGAGGGTTGCAGTGGTCTCAGCAAGTGTGTTTAGGTACTGCAAGTCCCATCATCCGTGGTCCAACCTCCTTGAAACAGCACCAGGACATAGATATTATATTATATTAGACTATTATACTATGCTCACATTATTGTATTATATTATACTAGCTGTGCCCTGCCACGCGTTGCTGTGGCCTATAGTAAAACTTATCAAAGTTGAGGTAGATATCTGGACTATTATGAAAGAGAGGTCCCTACCTATTCCTTCCCCCTTTTCCTCCCCCTTTCTCTCCTTTCTTCCTTCTCTACCTCTTTCTTTCTTTTCACTACTTGGTTTCATCCTTCTCTCTTTCCTTCATTCCCTCCCCCTTTCTTCCTTTGCTTTTCTTCCCTCCCTGTTTGCTTCCTTCTTTCACTTTTTATTTCCTTTTATTTTACCACCATCATAACAATAACAATAATGCAATGCATTGCCTCTGGGACCTGACACCTCTCCCATTCCCCCAGGGTCTCATAGGAACAATAGCATAATAATAATAATAATAATAATAATAATAATAATAATAATAATAATAATAATAATAGAAATAACAACCTTTACCCGCCACGTGTTGCTGTGGCCAATCTTCCCTCTTTCTCTCCTTCTTTCCCTCCTTCCTTCCTTCCTTCCCTCCCATCTTTCCTTCTCCTCTTCTTTCTCTATCTCTTTCCTTCCTTCCCCCTTTTTCTTTCTTTTCTGCTGTCTCTCTTTTCTTTCCTTCCATCTTTCCTTTTCTTTCCTTTTCTTCTTCCTTCTTTCTCTAACTTTCCTTCCTTCCCCCTTTTTCTTTACCTCCCTTTCTCTTTCTTCCTTCTTTCCTTCCTTCCTGTCTTTCCTAGATTTTGACAGGGCGGGAAGGGGCGGGGTGGGGTTTGGAGGTGGCGTGAAGTAAAAGGAGGTAAGATTGGGGTGGGGGAGGGATGGAGCGTGGGGTTGTGTGTGTGTGTGCAGCGGCGGGGGGAGTGATGGAGCGTGGGGTTGTGTGTGTGTGTGCGGCGGCGGGGGGAGTGGGGTTGCGTGTGTGCGTGCGGCGGCGGGGGGAGTGATGGAGCGTGGGGTTGTGTGTGTGTGCGGCGGCGGGGGGAGGGGTTGCGTGTGTGTGTGCGGCGGCGGGGGGAGTGGGGTTGCGTGTGTGCGTGCGGCGGCGGGGGGAGTGATGGAGCGTGGGGTTGCGTGTGTGTGTGCGGCGGCGGGGGGAGTGGGGTTGCGTGGGTGTGCGGCGGCGGGGGGAGTGATGGAGCGTGGGGTTGCGTGTGTGTGTGCGGCGGCGGGGGGAGTGATGGAGTGTGGGGTTGTGTGTGTATGTGCGGCAGGGGTGTGTGTGTGTGCGGGAAGCGGCGCGGCGGGGCTTGGAGTGGGCATGGTTTCCGCAGAGGGAACGTTGGCCGGAAGGGCATGTGCGCGCGCCAGGGAACTTGCGGCTGGGCGCCAATGCGCATGCTCAGTTGTTTTGCCGTTTTGTGAGTGTGTTGTTGTGTTGTTTTTCATTTTGAGTAGATATGTTTGTACCTTGTGGGTTGTGTTATGGGCATGGGAATTTTGGTTAGTTTCGTTGGGGTTTTTTTGAGTTTTGTTTTTTTGCCGTTTTGAGTGTGATGTTGTGTTGTTTTTCATTTTGAGTAATATGTTTGTACCTTGTGGGTTGTGTTATGGGCATGGGAATTTTGGTTAAGTTTCGTTGGTTTTTTTTAGAGTTTTATCCTTTTGCCGTTTTGTGAGTGTGTTGTTGTGTTGTTTTTCATTTTGAGTAGATATGTTTGTACCTTGTGGGTTGTGTTATGGGCATGGGATTTTGGTTAAGTTTCGTTGGGGGATTTTTGAGTTTTGTTGTTTTGCCGTTTTGTGAGTGTGTTGTTGTCTTTGTTTTTCATTTTGAGTAGATATGTTTGTACCTTGTGGGTTGTGTTATGGGCATGGGAATTTTGGTTAAGTTTCGTTGGGGGGTTTTTGAGTTTTGTTTCCTTGTTGGATGCCCCTAACAAATTTATATATATAGATTATTATATTCACATTATTACATTACATGGCACTTCTGCTGCAGCCTCAAACTTCAGTCTCCCATTCGGCTCCCATTCGAAACCCTGCACAACCTTTGACCTTCCCTGATTACCTTAAGAGTCACGTGACCTCTTTGCTCTCATTAAGGTGATCATAATGAGACTGATTAGGGTCAAATTCCAGGCTGCAAAAGCTATTTAAAGCTTTAGAAGACAAAAGGGCACGCTTTTGCAGCAGGAAAAGAAATCCAATATAATCATATCATACAATATAATAATTTATATATTATATTAAATATATTAGATCATATATAACATATATAATATGTATACATATATGTTTAAATTTAATGAGATATGTGTGTGCGTTTGTATACATATATGTTGTTACATATATGTATACATATATGTTGTTCAGTCGTTTCCAACTCTTTGTGACCTCATGGACCAGCCCACGCCAGAGCTCCCTGTCGGCCATCACCACCCCCAGCTCCTTCAGAGTCAATCCAGTCACTTCAAGGATGCCATCCGTTAGACCACACCTGGAATATTGTGTCCAATTCTGGGCACCACAATTGAAGAATGTGTCCAGAGGAGGGCGACTAAAATGATCAAGGGTCTGGAGAACAAGCCCTATGAGGAGCGGCTTAAGGAGCTGGGCATATTTAGCCTGAAGAAGAGAAGGCTGAGAGGAGATATGATAGCCATGTATAAATATGTGAGAGGAAGCCACAGGGAGGAGGGAGCAGATCAAGGGTCTGGAGAACAAGCCCCATGAGGAGCGGCTTAAGGAGCTGGGCATGTTTAGCCTGAAGAAAAGGCTGAGAGGAGATATGATAGCCATGTATAAATATGTGAGAGGAAGCCACAGGGAGGAGGGAGCAAGCTTGTTTTCTGCTTCCTTGGAGACTAGGACATGGAACAATGGCTTCAAACTACAAGAGAGGAGATTCCATCTGAACATGAGGAAGAACTTCCTAGTGTGAGAGCCATTCAGTAGTGGAACTCTCTGCCCCGGAGTGTGGTGGAGGCTCCTTCTTTGGAAGCTTTTAAACAGAGGCTGGATGGCCATCTGT